GGCCCTCCAGCGGCAGGCCCTTGGTTGGAGCCGGGCGTTGGGGCCTGGCCGCCAGTTGCTGCCCTGCCCTGCTCGAGGGCCTGGGCGTCCGTATGAGGGTTTTTGCACCCGGCCACGATCCGGATCGGACCTTTAAAGGGCCAGGACTCGGACTACTGTAAGGCACGGTGGAGCCATAGGACGGACTAGCCATCCACTGTACCAGGGCGGAGGACCCGCCTCCTAAAGGCCTGCCGGCCTACAACGAACTATCCCCCGGAAGGGGACAGCTTAGAGGCTATGGTTGTCACTGCCGGAGGGCAGTGACCAAAGGGCGACGTGGCGACGAGAGCCACCCGCTACAGGCTGCCACAGTGGGGCCGGGAGCCCTGCACTGAGGGGCTGGTGGCAAGGGGAAGCCAGCTGGGAGGCTGGCAGCAAAGCCAGGGCTAGGAGGGACAATGGCACAGGAGCCCCAGAAATTACATTTCTTAGTCCATCAAAATCTCTCATCTGAGACTAGTCAGGTCCTGAGGGTTCCGGACCAGGGAGGTCCAACCTGTACTTGAATTTGAAACCTAAAGTGCCTTTATTTTTGTCATAGTTTTTCTGGTGTGTAATATACAAACAAGGAATATGTTCTGGCTGCTCTGTGCCTCTCTTTAATGATGGAAACAAAGGATGTTAAGTAATGATTAGTCAAGTAGTTGATAGAATTTCCATCAATTACTCAGCTAGTCGATAAGCACTTCCGCATTCCTCCTTTGACATGTACAAGAGCCCCACTGAGGAATGCAGAACTCCACGAGCTGCCTGGGGCCAGCGGGAAGTCCCACTGACTCCAGGCTGCAGGAGGCGTGCCAGCTTTGAAATGTAAAAGAGTCCCCCGATGACCCCGGGCTCCATGCGCGGCAAAGCTGCACAGCTGATCCCAGGCTCATCTGTGTGGCGAAGCCGCTTTGAAGTACTCCCTCTCCCTCCTCTTCCCCCCACTTTGCTGCCTCTATCTGATAGAGGCAGCAAGAGGGGAGGGGAGTCCACTAGTTAACTGATAAACATTGAAAACCAGCCAAAAACATGTGGTTTGTGTTGCTTTACCTCACCAGACTAACACAAAGCAGGTGGTACATACCAGTGAATGTGGTCTACCAGCTTTATCCTACATACAAGCCAGCAACAACAATTGAGCAGAACAAATATGCAATAATAATAGCAATTCCTAAAGCAAAATAGTCTCTCTGAGTGATACATCTTTTCAGTAAGTAAATTAAGATACACTATCCTCAACATTGTGATACAGTTGGACACATATCAGAAAAATTAGCATTAAAGAACTTTTTAATACAATTTAGGAAATTCCTCCAAACCACACAACTCAGTTCATTTTCTGCTATCTCATTAGCGGTGTGTCTATATATACATCAGGGCTTAACTCCAAATAAGCTATGCAAATTGAGCTATGTCAATGCATAGCTTATTTTGAAATTGGTAGAGTCTACACTGCACTTATTTTGAAATAGAGCACTCTTCCTTCAAATTCCCTTATTCCTTGTACAATGAGGGTTACAGGAGTTGGAGTAAGAAGTCCTCTAGCATGATGGTATTTTGACATTATTTTGAAATAACTGCCTGCTGTGTAGACACAGACTAAGTTATTTCAAAATAACACTTGTTATTTCGAAAAAATGTTGCTGTGTAGACGTACCCTAAATCAGTTATCACTCAGCAGTCCTGAGTTGTTTAATAACTGGAGTTTCATTTGTGCAACAATAACAATTTTTCAGAGGAGTAGCCAAGTCAGTCTGTTTCAGTAAAAACAATGAGGAGTGCTACGGCACTTTCAAGACTAGCATATTTATTTGGGATACTTTTGTGGGTTGGAATCCACTTTGTCAGATGCATGAAATGGAAACTTCAGTTAGGCATGTATGGAAAGATCGGTTTGTTACATTACTATGTGGAGGATCAGTGCTAATGAGGTCAATTCAGCCTGAGTGGTTGTGGTCCACTCCCAATAGAGTGAATATGAAAAGAAGGAAAATTACTTTTTGTAACAAGCTAGCCACTCCCAGTTTCTAGTCAGACTCAGTCTGATAGTGTCAAGTTTGCCTATGAATAACCATTTTGCACGCTATAGGACTATCACACTGGGTATTTATATTCTGTGGGAGAAGAGCTCTAACTCTTAGTTTTATTATGCAGAAACTGATTCCAATTTTATCGTTTCAAAGCTTCTCCTTTGTTCATGGTGAAGATCAGAGGCAACTTTCCTTCTGATCCCACCTTCATCCTCCAGGAGTGCTTAGTCACATACTAAAAATTAGAGCTTGTTGAATTTTTTCATGGGGAAAAAAAAGTAATTGAAAATTGCCCTTTTGCAAATAAACAATCTTTTTCAAAAAACATTGCCAAGATTTCTGAAATTTTCTATTTTCACTAAATTTTCCAAGATTTATTTTACCAATATTCTTACAAGGCTGTTTTTTAAATTATAAAAATAATTTTTAGATATTAGAATTTTACTGTATTTACTTAATTCACCAGAAACAGTGTTTTCTTTCTGAAATCAATATTTTCAGCAAATAAAAATTTGCCAAAAACATTTTACGTCAATTCTGAAAATTATTTTAGTAAAAAAAAACTTTTCACAGAAAACACAAAGTGGACCATTTCAAACTAGGTTAAACTGAAAAAAAATCAAATTTTCAAAAAGATGTGCAGAATTTTGTTGTGATGGGGTTTTTGACCAGTGCCTCTAACAGCTGTGGTTGACAATATACATGTACCTGGTTTCTGGGGTGTTTTTTTGGGAGGGGCGGGGGGTTTAATGCAGATTTCATTGTTAAGGATTTCTCTTTTAGTGAAAGAAATG